TCGTTCCCTTTTCCGATCAAACTGGCACAGTAGGATCGCCAAACACGTACTGGAAACGTATACGAAATGGTTTGAGGGTCGATGGAGCCCGCGCAGGCCAGGATGCTCCACATGCGCACCGACGTCCTCTTCTTTCGTAACGAGAGTAAATAAAAGGACTACGACGGTTCTCGCTCGACGACGGAACGACGGGAAATTTCCCGTGGAAACCGTTCCAACGATGCTTTATTAATCCTGGGTTACGTCTGATGGGATTTGACAACGTCAGAATTTTCGTTCTGTCTATATGAAATTCTATTTTACACAGAGATCGTAACTGTCATAACCTCAATAGAAAAAAAAAAGTTACGATATAACAATTAAATTACTCGACTTGAACAGTTTAGTTGGGAATAACTAATTTTAATGATTGAAAAATTCTTATTTTACGATTATCGATAACCATTATCGATGGCAAAAATTCTTTTGGTATACTGATAACCTATATTGATTGGGAAAATATTTTTTGGTTGCTGATATAGGTTATTGATCGTGAACATTTTTTTTTTTCGTTTTGGTTGAAACTTCTTTTTCTTTTTTTTTTAAATTAATGAATTACTTGTTTTTTTTATTTAATTTAAACGATGGTTTCGATAAGATCTGAATTGAGAGAAAAGTAGAATTTCGGAAAATGGAAGATATCGAGAGGTAAACTGAGGTTATGAATCGTTCATTGGGGAAATATGAATGATTTTTGGAACGGCTTAGTTTCTTGAGCGTGTTATTGGATTATCGAAGGGATAATTAGCGGTAGGGATATTGAAATATTACTGAAAGGCAAAGGGAAATGTTGAGAGATCGAAAAAGGTTATTGGAATATTGGAAACGTATCAAAGAGGTGAAAGAATTATGGGAATATCGGAAGAATATTAAAAGTGACGTAAAAATATTTGACTATTAAAAGAAACAGTGCGATATTTTAAAGGAAAAAAAAAAAAAAGAAAGAGAGTATGGGACAATTTGAAATATGTTGAAACATCGAGGAAATATTGGACCGTGAAAACAAATATAAAAATATCTCAAAATGTATCGAAGTAAATACAGGAATATTAAAACATGGCATAGGATATTGGAACGTTAAAAGAAAATACAGAGAACACTGAAATAAAATATGAATCTATATCAGATCCATTACGTGAAACTATTTTTTTCACTTTGTAAACGTTAAACGCGCGAAATATTTTATTTGATTTCCAACGATGTTTCGCTTCTTTTTCATTTAAATAAAACGATCAACGTATAATACTCGTCAACGCTCTCCGATACACAAATTGAGCGAAACGATCTCGGCAGAGTGAAACCAAATAGAAAATGTTTCCGGATATTAAACACCTACGAGGTGTTTACATCAAACGAATTATTCGCCGAACTTGTTTTGCGCCGAAATCATGACGATTTAAACGAATCACTAATTTCACTTGGATTTCGAACGAAACTCGGAAAAAATTGCTTCTCGTTTAAAAAAAGTATCGCGCAGCGTTTATTCTACTTACAGTTTTCTCCATATTGAAGGAAGTGTATAAATGCGCCACGATGATTAATTGTACTTAATTCGTAAAACGGTAAATGTTTAGTTATTAAAATTCGTAGTGCAGAAGACGCGGAGGTTCTCTTGACTTTCTCGTTCCATAATTGGAATCCCAATTAATTATAAAAAAGCACGTTTCGCGTATAGGCTGCTACGGTCTATAATAAGGCAAAATTGATCGGTTTTAGAACGTCCTATACAACTACGGTGAACATACGCGTATTTATACAGTTGCAAGGTGCACCTTTTTTCTTAAATAGAACTTCACGGTGAATTTTCACGGAAGATCTACCAACTAAAAAAGACATTTCAAACTTCAATGTATAAAGTAAAATTCATCAATTGTTTTACTAGGTAATTTTCGATAAATCATTTTTCTGACGATGCATTTTTATATCCGTCAAATGAACAAAATTACATCACACAGCATTTAGTGATTACATAAGTACACTTAAGTAGATTATAGCATCATAAATAGATCTTTAAGACCATATCAATAAAATAGAGTGATCCAATTATTTCAGACGTGAAAAATCGTTACGCACCATTACTTAATAGAATAAAAATCTGAAACCTAAGAAATAATAATAACCATATTACTAGACACGACGAAAAAGGTCACTCCCTTCAAATTCCCTATTTTAGACTGCTAATTCATAAAAATTGAATGAAATTCAAATTCAGCAAATTTCCATGTTTACGAATAGGTTAATTGCCCGTAAAAGGTTATTTAAGTATAGAGCAATTTAGAATCTTCCATAACGACGGAAGGAAGAAAAACGGAACGCGATAAAGTATCACAAGGTGGCTCCGACGTGGAATCGCAGAAAAAGCGCATATCTCTACGTGCAGGGAACAATTACACGGCGAAAAAGCAACGAACCTTTCACCGGTCCCTGTTTACCGAAACAAATTCGTTACGTTGGCTTTTCTGGACTCTTCGATCCACCGCGGCGCGCGTTACATCGGATTTTCGTGCTGGTTACAATATGTTTTTCTAATTGTTCCGTAACGATGAATGACGGATCGCTTTACCGTTACGATTACACAACGCATGTAGCTGTATACGCGGAAAGCAATCGTCCACACCGTGGAATGCGATGATTCGAAAAACTCTTCCGTACGATTTCAGCAACCAAATTCTAGAGAGAATGCACTACTACTATCGTGATTGTGTATGAAGTTTCATGAGAAAAGTCTTTTTAAAACGAAAGCTGCCTACATCTTTTGCTTAGAAAATCTTTCCCTTCGATTTGCTGGGCATGTACATGAATTAAAATACATTTAAATGTTAATGGAAATAGCTAAAAATGGGTTTTGTAATTACATTGAATTAAATAGTTAAGAGAAAAAAATGGCAAGGCATTTATTTGATCCTTCAATGATTTTCTAGATCTTTGATTTCTTTTTGGTCATCTATAGTAATGTTTTCTTGCAAATATAATTTCAGATTTTGTGCTAAATGCTAGATAATGTAATAGATTTGATATTTCTTTTCTTTGTTTTGTTGAAGAACTAAAGGGAATGAAATATTTTGATTTGTATGAGTCATCTTTTAAATGCGAAGTGAAATTGTGTCAATGAAATTGCACAGTTTAGTAGAGTTCACATAAGTTCAATAAACAGATATTAGTCTTAGCTTTTCTATAAGTTGTTGAAAATTATATTGCTGTTTGTACAAAGTGTCAAAAACATTAATAAATAAAGTGCTGTTCAATACATTTACTTAAATAATTCTTTATGAAATTTACTATGATATTAAAACTAAGTAATTCTCTCTAGTAGTTGTAAAACAAGTATCAAAGTCATTACTGTCTCCACAGAATAATACATATGTTGTTTAATTCCAAGCATTCAAATTCAAAATATTTATGTTATTTAAGAATTTCAAGATTTCTGTGATGTTAGAGTAACAGCAACTGTGAATCACTCAATTATAAAATAAATGGAAAAAAGTTGTTATGTATAGTTTTGTTACTTTCATTTTATATAACTTAGCATTTTCAATGAATAAACATACTTCAATAACCATTTACTTCCTAAAAATGTCTTTATATCATCCAATCAAATATCAATAATACCATCTCAATATAGAATTTCACTTTAATTCGTTTTACAAAAATTAAAAATAGTCATAGGTAAAAGACGTTCTATTAGAATTAGAATTCATAACAGAAGAAATAAATATTTTCAACGTGACATCATTAATCACTAGTCTATATGTAATTTATTAGTATCGCAACACTTTTCACGCGGGTGAAACATAAATCAGCGACAATGTGTCAATAATCGGCAAAATGGAACACGAAAAGTGGAGAATCGGTAACAGGTGCCTAACAATACGACGACAAAAAAGGAAAACTGTCAGAGTGGCACTTGTCCATATTAACAAACTGTCAGGCGAAACGAATCACGACGACCATCTGTTTCTGATATACTCTAAAATTATTGTAAAGCACATACCTGCGGCGCGATTAATATTCCATGCGCTCCTTGCGAAATGAATCACGCACTAAGTCAGAAAATTAAATTTCGTGTCAGCAAAAACGGATATAACGCTACTACGAGGGTAACGAAGCACATACGCGGCTGTCACCACTTAAAATTGTCATCACGATAGATTCGTTCACGTACACTGCTGCCAACGTTTCAATTATTGCAGCAATATGCAAAGAAATGATTTTCTTTTTATATATCTAAGAATTTTACTCGACATAATCATTCGTTACTCTACATTATTATAAACTGTAAACAATTAAATAAATTTTTAATCGGAAAGGATCAATTTACGTTAATTTTCGAAATCTGACTATTAAAATATTGTACGTTCGCAATTAGAAACTCACCCGTTAGCTTACGTTACCACATTAAGTTACTAGTTACGCTTGCTTAAACTGATATTCTAGGAATATTCTTACGTAATAAATGTACTAGTATTGTTCAACCTGCCTAAATTACCCAGCAAAAAGTGATAATTTCATTCGGTAGCGTTTGAAATTAATTGGATACCCTATATATACTATATCCAAAAGTATACAAACTTGACAAAATAAGAAATGTATGAAGTAGATATATTTTGTGGTATACTTGTATATAAAAGAATTTTTTAGAATAAATTGATGTTAAAGATAACTTCGTAGTACTTGCTTGTTAAATATTTCCAACAATTGGTAGATAATAACAAACAGCGAGAGCGACAAAATATAACGATGTGCGTATCAAATTAATTAGTTGATGCGATCAACAAAGCTGTGACTATTGAGTGAAATAATTTATAACAAATGCATACGTTGTAAGCTAATGCACATATTATAATAACGTGCTCAATATTTCACACATTTGTAAATAATAATTATTTGTTACTAAATACAATTTACAGTTGTAAAGTGTATATTACTATTATTATATAAAATAAATTGAGAATTCTTTGAAAATGTCATTAAGGAAATTTATGCATCCACGAAATAGATATAAAAAAGTACCTGATTTTAAACAACTTGCCTTATTATATCCAGAGTTCCGTAATGTTGCAATTACTGTAAGATTTTTCTTAAACAACTATTCATTGCCATTAGATGTATTATGTACAGAGTGTAATGTATTTCACCCATTTAATTTTCAGGATTTAACAGGTAAAATCAAGATTGATTTTAAAAATGAAGAAAGTTTAAGAGTACTTACAGAAGTATTGTTAAAACATGACTTTAATCTAAAAGTGGAATTACCTCCAAATAAATTAGTTCCAACTTTACCATTACGCTTAAATTATATTTTATGGATAGAAGATTTGATAAAACATGCTGGTTTCAATGAAATGGAAGAAGTAGTTGGCATAGATATTGGTATTCAAGATGAATTTAATTTTTAATACATAATATTAAAAAATTTAGTGAAAGTAACAATTTTTTCTATTATAGGTACTGGGGCAGTTTGCATTTATGCTTTATTGTTTGCAAAAATGTATGGAAATCAAATGATTGGCACAGAAGTTGATGAAACAAGTGTTCATTCAGCTGTTCAACATATTGAAAATAATAATTTGCAAAACTTAATAAAAGGCAAATACATGACACATTACAGTATTAAAAATTGTATATAATTTTTTATATTCTTTTACTTGAAATACAATATGTTGTTTCCAGTGTTCAAAGTGGATGCAGGAACAATTTTGAAAGACATTATAAAAGAAGATAAAGACTATTATTTTACAATGTGCAATCCACCATTTTTTGAAATAGAAGGACCATCAGAAAAAGTAATAAAACGATTACCACCAAGAAATGCTCCAACTGGAAATGAAGCAGAACTTACAGTTCAAGGTGGTGAAAGGGCATTTATAACACAAATGATTGAAGAAAGTATGGAAATTAAAGAAAAAGTAAAAATATACACCACAATGTTTGGCAGAAGAAGTAATTTATTGTTTTTATTAAAATTGTTAAAAAAAAAGAATATAGAAAATGCAACATGGACAGAATTCTGTCAAGGTCACACTAAACGGTAAAATACAATTTTTATAAAAGTTTATTTCATTTTCCTGTAAACATATGTTTAATAATATACTTTTTTAATAGGTGGGGATTAGCTTGGACATTTTTACCAAAAGAAGTCATCAATTTAACAAATGCGCCTGTTATTAGAAAAAGTGGAGACTACATTGCAAAATTATTAAAAGAACAACGTCCAACAGAAATACAATTTCCAATGAAACATGGATTCTTCTTATTTGATAATTTAGTAAATTTTTTGGAAGAAGCAATGGATGAATTAAATGTACTACTATAGTTGAATTTTTCATTTCATCATGTATAATAATACTTCAATTTATGCTATATTTTGTATGCAGGTACAAATCAAGGAACTAAATTTACCGATTGACGATTTCAATGGTTGGTCGTGTCAGCTAATTGCAGAAAGTGATACGTGGTCACATGCACGTAGAAAACGTCGATTAGCTCAAAGACTAAGGAAACAGTCCAACGATCACGACACGGAAAGTGCTGTTGCAGCAAATGATGCTGCAGAATGTTCTGTACAAAAATCAGTGGAAGATAATTCAGGAAATATAGACGAACAGCACGCAGATCAAACATCAACAGAAAAATCTGTTGCGAAAGAACCTTTATTAATATGTAACTTTTTTGTTGAAGTAATAGAACATGAAGAATCTGAAAATGATGACATAAAAATATCTATGGTCTTTGAAAAAGGCAGTGGTGGCAAAAATGCTTTAGAAACATTTCGACAGTATTTAATAAACAGATTAGACATTAGAGAGTATTTTCAAAAGCAACATGCAAACAAAAAGAAAAGAAAACGATTAAAAAAAAGCGATAGTGACATGAATTTGGACCAAGCTGAAGACTTGATCAAGAACAACATGGAGTCTGTTTAAAATGTTAATTCATATTCCATACAAAATGATTTATTTTATGCGCAAACTTTACGAAATTATATAACAGGTAATATATATGTAAATCAAGTATTTAACTTTATTTATAATCAATAGTTCTTATTAACTAACATTCTTTATCATACATTTTAGCTAACAAGTGCAATATAATATTCCATGTTGTAAAGTATACAAATTTATTAAACAGAAACTACATGGCATGTTCACTTATTCGCCTTTTGTTATTATTATCAATAGTAATATTGTTATCACTATCATCTTTATTATTGTAAATATAACTGACTTCAAAACACAAAATAATTTTTTTCATTTAAAAACAATTATCAACAAATTATTAATATTATTCCTAAACATAATCTGATTTGGATATGATTAAATTTTTAACATAGGATATTAATTCTAACATTCGTTTTATAACGAATACTATTCGAAAAAAATGTATGATTGAGAAACAAAAAATAATGTAGATTAACATTTCGGTAACAGGTAATTCTCAATGTTTATAACTCTAGAACTAACTGCGATACTTCTAGTAGTAATTAGGAAATTGACGCTACTTCTATATCATGTCGACTAATGAGCCGTTTTGTAATGGAAAATTTTTAAAGTTCATCATTCTTTTCAGATTCAAATCCTTGTGTAAGACGGCGATAAAACAACGGTGATAGAAAGATGAAGAAAAACTATTCATGTTATGTATATGGTATAAAAACAATTAATAAAGCTGTATGAGTTGTTTTTGTTGAATACAATATAGATACTTAATTATACTTTATAAACTTTTATGCAATCTATGCTGTTTTCAAATTACTAATTTCGATTATGAGAAATTTATTAGTACTCATTAAAAAATCTAGTTTCAGTAGTATTCATATTGAATCCAACAAGATTAACCCTAAATTAGTAACAGTGAAAAATAATAAACGTTTGCATTGAGTTTGTCGATGGCAACTAAGTGGAAAAGTGACAACGATGCTTAAGATGGCACAAAAAAATGATCTCAAATATGTACTAACAAAATATCCTATCGAAAAGGTACAAAAAAAAGAGGAAAAAAAAGCAATCGACTTATATTCTACGATACTAAAATCCATTACTCGTTTTACAGACAATTGCCGTACTCTTTTAATTTTCCCAGTACATCGTGTTTCATTTAAATCTTTAGCAACACTTGTGCAATATACGCTGGAACAAGTACTAGTTTATTATTTCGTCCATTAACCATAAGTGTAGCGTAACTTTTATTGTTACGTAATAGAATTAATTGAGCCTTTAGAAAAAACGCGATGATATTAGGCGATGCAAATTGTTGTCTGTAATAAATTTCCCAAAACGTATTTTTTTTTTATCGTTTGTTCAACAATATAATCTGTACGATCCGTAAATCGAATCACGAGTGAGATATTGTGACAAGCATTCGCGCTAAGGCAATGAATTCTTCATTCAGAATTATTTACACAAGTGGAGAATCAGTTTCTTTTTTTTATATTTGTTATATGCAGTCATAAATCAGTCAAATAAATTCTGCAGCTTGGCGTATTATAGTCGAGCATCGCGAGCGTTAGGAAATTTAGCTCTCTCGAAAAGTTTCACCCATACTGTCGTCGGTCGCCACACAGTAAAAGTTCCGATTCCGATAGCACTTTATGAACGTACATACGATACACGAAAGATCCTCATATCGAGCAAACACTGCCATTTTCGATTTATCCCAATCAATAATATATGCCGTGCTCGCGTTACTCTTAAAAAGACTGGACGCGGGCAGGGAAAGACTAGGATTCAGAAAAAAAAACTACTAAGTATCATCATTAGCGGTTTAAAACGAGCTCAGCTCTCTGCAACTACTGGTTCTAACGTCTTATTTTCTTCTAATTTTTTCAATTCTACTTTCTGTGTTTCAACCTTCTTCTCTATTTTTTTGTTTTCCTTATCGTCTTTTTTATTCGCTTTGTCTTCTTTTTTGCTCTCTTTCTCGTTCTTTTTATTTTCCTTCTCCTCTTTTTTATTATTTTCTTTTTCCTCCTTCTTATTCTCCTTTTCACTCTTCTTGTTTCCATTTTGGATCGCCTTGATTTCACCATCAGGCGTCTGTTCCTTCTGTCGTTTCTCTATTTCTGCTTTAAAGTTCTCGATATCCTGTTGGCTAATTTGAACGAACAGAATACCATTAATTACGTTCAACATGTCAAGTACGGACCCCATACTAGGCGGTTGCACCTGAATCGGGGGTAGACTGACTCCCGATTTGCCAGTGTAAATTTCGTTCATCTTTTTCTGCAGAACTACGGCCTGTTGCGTGAGATGTCTTAAGCAGTCACTACTTTCTTTGGTTTTCTCATGATCCTCGCCTAACTGTTGCTTGTAAATAGCATACGTTTCTTTCTCATTATTTAAAGCTGCCCGGAAGTCACCCATGCAAGACTGAGTTCTTGCGACAAGGTGATAAGAAACAGCTACCTTCAAAGACCGTGGCCCATGATACCGAAGATTTAGAGCCAATGCGTGCTCCAAAAAGCGGAGCGACAATTCGTACTCCCCAACAGCGTGAAGTATCAATGAAATGTTGCTCTAAATGAATAATTAAATACCACAATTTTTTTTAACTTTTTGTTTTCAATTTTTGGCATTACTTTATACTGTTAATACTTACATCAAGAAGCGCTACTTCTGGATGATCTTCACCACAAACCAACAAAGCCAAATATCGTGCTCTGTATAATAACCTAAGTGACACGGAAACTTGACCATTAGCGAAGGAGTACAAGGCGAGATGAATCTGCGGACAAATATTAGGAATGACATTAATATTAATTTCCAATAACTGATTAAATATTTTGTCTGGTACTTACATATTCAGTAATGGTATATGGATGATCTATTCCGTTAACACGTTCCGACATAAGAACCGCTTTTTGTTGAGTAGAAAGAGCTTCACCGTGGTCACCCATTATATAATTCAATCGTGCAAGCATTCTTAGGCACTGTGCTATCTCAGGATGCATAGCACCGTAAACATTGTTCAGTAAATTCAGCGCCTCGCTGATTAATTCGTATCCATCTTTCAAGTAGCCTTGTTGAATCTTATTTTGACCAGTTGTATAGAAGTTATATGCATCACTAGCCTAAATAGAACAAAAACACACACACACACGCGCACTGCAGTAATTTAACCATGAAAACTTATATTTTGCACTTTAAATTTATTCCTTACCCTAGGATTGATATGCTTCACAACAGGGAATATGTTGAGGATGTCTTCCTCGAAGAACGTGGCCCTATTCTTGTTCTCGAAGTTATATTCACGTAATAATATTTGGATACCAGTCTTTATACAGAAATTGCGAAGCAACGAGATTTTCTGAAGATGAAAATGTTCTATCGTGGCGTCCAACGATTCTGGACACAGCGTTTCCCAATCATAATAACATTTTAGATCCGCTTTAATTTGTTGCCAAAGAGACTTAGGTGTCAAGGAAGCCCATTCCACTTCAGACTGTTGCGGACCGTTATTTCTACCTTTTCGTTTATTGCGTCGCTTGGCAGTTTTACTTTGAAGCTGAAACCGGCAATTATATAAATTTTCACCTAGAAAATTATTTCGTTCGTTGATATTGTTTTTTGATAAAAAAATGCATTCAACGAATATAACGCCGTAGCATCCTGCGATTAGTATCGGCATACCTCTTCCAGATTTTGTTGTGGATGAATGATTTGTGCAGATGATAATAAGCAATTTAAGAAATGGCTAATTGCTGCGGAAAGACTCATCAATTCCGTACCCTGAAAAAATATACATTAAATTTCACGTTCGCACAGATTATTAAGATCATTTCGATTTTGATCATCCTACCTGCATATAAAATGTAAAAATGTGTTTTGCTGAACGCAAAAGAAGCTCTGAAACAGCGATTCGCTTAAGGTATTGCAACTGTGGAACTGTAGATAACATAGCTGCTAATTTGCCAAGGTATCGCACGTTGATACCTTTACCGTGTAAAGCTTCTACTAATGTATTACCGTCCATTGCAGCAGCAGTGTGATCCAAACATTCTCGAATCTGTAACAAAACACAATTTCCATTAAATGTGTTTAACACATATTATTTTAACAAACATAGAGATATTTTATATCAAAACATACAAAAGTAGGTATCTGCACGGTGAGTAAAAAGTCAGCGGCATCTTGCACCAATTGCTTCTGTTTTTTTAAAGCAGGACCACTTGGATCAGGATGCCTTACACCCGGAGAGAATACGTCTGGATTAAACCTGACGTCAAATTCGGCATCTCGTAAACTACCGACTGCAGTTGCAGCTCTTCGAACAATTTCCTTTGTACTTTCTTCCACTAAAAGAGGAAACAATAAACTTAGTACACAAACTTACAGATAAGAATCACGCAATCATACTACATACATTCTTGTTTCTCCCCACCAGTAATTGAATCCGTAATACTCTCAACGATTTTCTTAGCTTCGTCTGTTTCAATTAATGCGTGAGTAGAATCTTCTTTATTACTATCCACTGCAATGGCATTGGTTTCTTCCTTTTTACCTTCCTGATATTAATGCAATAGTATGTAGATAGTAATACTTCTTTCATCAACGTTAACTAATGATGTAAAAAGAAAAAGTCTTCTTACTTTGGCAGTGGTTTCCTTTTCCTTTTGCACTCTTCTTGCAGACGTAAGTTGCTGAAGATGAACAGCGGCATGTTTAATGAATTGCACGTACCTAGCTTCGACAAACGAGTCGATCAATTCCTGACGAAGGCATGCTAATTTATGTTTGTGCTCAATTGGAAAACCTAAAGCTCTAGCCTCTTTACTCAGTTCTACACCTTCCACTATGAAATACAGACGAGAAAAATATAACAACTGATACCTATTTTCAATTAATCAGTAGTCATAGTAACTTACGTTTGAGGAAGTTGACATCAGGAGGGAAAGTTCGTAACAAGTCCAACACGTAATGTCGAGAATCATTCCCAATAATACCTTTGCATTCTACACTGCTACAAAGCTCAACTTCTTCACCGGCATCGTTGATAACTTTATGAGGAAGAATTTTTAATTGTTGACCAGTTTTGTTCAACTGTGGAGCACAATGCACGTGATATAAAATAATTGAATAAATATTCTCTGTAAATCATACAAAATCATTATTACAAGTAACTAACCAATTCAAGATACTTTGGATGCGTGAGAACAGTTTTTCCAAAATCTATAGAACCATAAACTACGGATTGCTCCTGCTCACGTTCCAAGATTCCAGGGATGATTGACTGAGCGGTGACACGATATCCTCTATGCAGAGGAATACGAATGATTACCATGAAAATTTAAAATTTTTTCGATTGAGATGTAAGTTGCGATAGAATCGAGCAAATGTGTACAAATGCTCCGCTACAAAGTATCCACGCCGTACAAATAATGTACCGAAAGGAGTGCGTGTATCTAATTTCGTACAAACCTGTAATCGATTACAACGGTACCAAGCGTATAAAGACCGAGCAGGTCAACGGCAGCGTACACTCTGACACCTTGTAAATCGTTCCTAGGCGCGACGAAAGCAGCAGCATCGCCACCAAGTTCTTTGTAATGATCCCTAACATCGAATCCAAGGGAGAAGAATATATTGTTCCAAATAAACATCTGCATCTTCGCTTCCTCGCCTGGATTTATTGCCATTACATTACCATCTATTACAGCCACTGCTCCTCGAGTTGCAGCAGCGACAAAATCACTGTGTACCTGAATAATTGATTCATGAAATACAGAAATACCATAACAGAAATCTGTTAGTACTGAAGTACAATTATTGCGTTGATCATAGGCATACTTTAAAAATAGCACGTTCTCTAAGCAGTCTTTCGGGTAAATTTTTACGAGGTAGTTCTCTCGTTGTCTGTAACTCCTCGTTCCAGTCTCGAGTTTGCCCTGGGATGTGCTCTTCGTATCCCAATTTAGAAGAGAAAGCTACATGCAAATAAATATATCAAATGATTAAAGTTACTCGTGATGCAACATAATTAACATGATTTTTATAACATGAAACGTACTATCTTCAGCGCGTATTGCATCGATCGTGTGTTCAATTTGAGGCGCGGACCAGGCGTAAAGTTGATAAGGTGTGGCGACTCGTTCGAATGGATGTCTTTGCGTCCTCCGTCTTTGCATAGCAGTGAAACCCCGTTTAAATGCTGGACTGAGCTGATTCAGTAGTTCAATTAAGCTGTGACACAGATGACTCGGGGTCGCCGGTTTCGGATTAAATACTTCTTTTGTCGATTGATTGACGAAGAAACCTCTGGCGCACGCGGTCAAGTAATATTGCTTGTCCTCTAACGTAACCACGTGCAAGTATAATAAATCACCGTGAAGCTTTCTATGACCAGGTGGTGGGTTCCATCCGGATGTTGTTAATACCTGCAATAACACATTCGATGAAACATTCGTGTTAACGATACATTAAATAACCAACAGAAAAGTTTATAGCAATTACTTTTAAACAAGGGGGACATTTTTGTTCTTTGGCTTGCGGTTGTAGAGGTAGTAGTGGCCTATCTTTACAGCCAGGTATAATGTAATCAGGCGGAGTACAATCGACTGAATCTGCTCTGCTCTTTTTCTTCTCGAGGATATCGCCATTGGTAACCACGTTTAGGAACGACAAACTGCTACATTCAACGCCGTTATAAGCATCCGCAGGATCCACGGATTTCAATAAATCTCGAACGTGTCGGACGTGTATACGAGCTTCTCGCATCGTGTACGGTTCTTCCACGACTTTAATCACCGAACCTTCTTTTAGGCCCTCGACATTCTTCAGCTCGGCGAAGTTGTCCAACGTGTTACCGTCGAGCTGAAGGGAGAAACACGTACGGTGACAGGTATCCTCGCGATCCATGAGCAATTGATGGATTTCCTACAAAATAACAATAGAAACGTTAATGTCCATTCTTATATAAAAATTTGAAAGAAATTGTAAAAAGTAAGAATTCTTCTTCTTGATTACCTGAACCAATTCCATACTGGATACTTGAATATCAAAGGGTTCAGCACCTGGACTAACGATCTTAACGGTGAATCCCATATCTTGAATGAAAACAATTTCTTGCTCACTTCCAGCATCTTTATCTCCATCTTCTTTTTCGCTCTTATCATTCTTCTTGTCTTTTGCTTCCTCCTTCTCCTTCTCTTTTTCTGTCTCGCTTCCTTTCTCTTTTGTGGCTTCTACTTCACCCTTCTCGACGACGTTCTTTGCGAGTGTGCTCGTGCTTCCGGTTTCCTCCGCAACTTCCTTCATATCTAAACACGAGAATAAACGGGAGAATTAACTTTCGCTCGATTGTTCGAGTTTGCAGAAAAATTCATTCTTATCCTTAAACAACACATGTCTCGCTTGAAACAATTAACAAATTTACCGAATGATTAATAACAGATAAAACTAAACGTCAAAAAATGCGTGTGATACGGCAATATTTTTCTCGTAAACTTATGTAACATGAATTAGAAACTGTGAAAATATCGCACCGATGGGGAATCGTTCTGACAAACGATTCTCTGTTTCAAACAACATGCAAAAGAGACACATTAACCTCAGCTTTATTAACTTATCTACAAATTTTGCAATTTAAACGTGGTGACACTGGTGTCGAACAAAACGAGTTCTAAAGTATAATTGAACTATATTCTCTATTTCTAGAATTAATTTTAGAATTGGGCAATTTTCAAGAAAACAAGAAAATAGCGAAACAAAACGAAATAATAATAATAATAATAATCTCGAGTCAAGTTTCAACAATGTCGATTCCAGAAACAACAGGAAAAAGAACGTTTTATTTTTATTACAAACGGATAGGTACAAAACAGAGAAATGGGATACTGTGTAAACAAAAGATGCGCGTACGAAATTCAATACTTGTTTTTCTCCCTTCAAAAGACGACCGTTACCCTACGTGTTTCTTCCACAATGACAGGAATATGAATAAGCGACTCCACGGGTTATTTCCATGGAAACGGGGTGCATTTTCGACTAGATACGACGGTGGACATCCGTGGGGCAGCCACTTGCATTCACCAATGCACTTATAAATAAACGGCAATGTAAATAGTCCGCACTCAAATGCCGTACTATTTTTATCGATACCATGTTTGCAATATACATCCATTTCTGGCGTACATCGTTCTTCGACAGTTATATTACTAATTACAATCGGCTACGAAGCTGGCCCGCTTACCAGTGGCCACGGTGATTTCATGTCGTCGGTGGTGTTTCAATGCTCGAGCATATTTCAAAGAATTTACACCTGCGAGACCTTGATCTTTAGCGGCCTTCGTACAAATGCTTCAATAATTCCTGTATATCTTAGAACAAGGTAACGGTAATTGGATAAAATGAAACGTATATATTTGAGATACTAACGTAACGTGATAATAATTCAAATGATACAATTGGGATGATAAAAATTGTCGACTTAAATTTGCAGCAATAATTATAGTTCAATAGATATGTTTTTTACAAAAGGATTGTAAATTACAAGTAATATACAGTGAAGCAAAAATATTGACATAACCAAATAATATTAATTTATGGAATTGAGAATAAAAATTATTGACTTTATTTTGTAACGGTAATTATAATATGGTTTCGTGTAACGATGTGTGAAAACTGAGTGATAACTTGTGTGAACTATAATACATTCTATATTGCGTCGTGTTACATTGGAATTGTAACTTAATACACTTATAAATAACAATGACGATAAATGATTTCTAATGATTTATTTTATTAGAAATAGAAATGAAGTGAATAGTACAAAAATTAGTTGACAAACGAATGAAAAAGGAAATGACAAAAGGCGAATAGTAATAAATAATATTTATTTGCCTCTGTATAATATGCGTATGATAAATGGGTAAACTCGAATTCAAATTCTATTTTAGTGTTCGGTTAGATCGCCTTCGACAGTGATTGGCGCTCGCATTCGACGCGGGAGGCTTTCTATGCACTTAATTATCATTTCCCTTGAACGAATATTGTTATCCCAACAATGATTTTTATATACTGCAGCACAATTTTTATGCACTATACTTCTCTTATGTTATTCATTTTACAAAGAATTAAATCTTTCTCTTTCACTGGAATTAAGGTTAGAATGATCGAAAGTGAATCTAAAATATATCGATACTTGTAAACTATATCGCTAGAAATCTGTGTAATTTTCGTTGTACTTACACTCGACAATTTCACGAGTCATACATTAAAAAACAAAAAAGAAGGTTTAAAATATTTATTATTATGTTAAATAAAGCATGCATTTGAATTAAAATGTTTCTTTGCTTCGAATTTACTGTTCCCTTGTTCACTGTTAGCAGCAAACTTCAAAGCTTACATAATACTAGCTACTTTCGATAGTACCTTAAACGATAACGATTTGAATTAAGATTATTTACAATAAAGATTTGCAAATGGATAGAAATAATAAAAATAAAAGGAAAATTGCATACAGGTCACAGTGTATAATTATAATAATTAATAAAGTAAAACAAAATTTATACGAAGTTATTTATTTATTCATGTCCAATATTCCGTGTCCGTTCGATATTTGTAACGATTATCGATTGACCATCGAGTTATCTTCAATCAAAATTCTATTGATCTTCCCAGGGCGTTCACCCAGAAATATCAAGATCGAAAGAAAACTGAAAGAGAATACATATATAACTACAATATAATAAGCCTTCAACTAGTTAATTCAATTTAAATAATCCTTGATGATAATTCTTAATATTTTATGAAAATTGTATGTACTATAAATAAACATTAACGTAAAACATGCGATAAAATATGCGTTAGTAGGGAGGTCAACGTAGAATTCATATAATAATTAAAGCTTCTTTAAAAAAAATTGTTTTAAATAAAACTGTTTTCTAATTATAATAAAAAAAATCTTAGTATTCACAACGTGTTTTTTATCCATTTGTTATTCTAGTACCGCAATAAAAAAAAAATTCTTATCGTGAAAACTAAATTCTTTCGTTGCATCGTCTTATGAATACATGCATATATTCATATATCTTCAATTCATACTAATTTACCTCGCAAACCAGTTGCTTTATTGCGGCCTTATCGTACAATATTCTACTATTTCATCTCAAAACTGTTCTCCTTTCCCGATCTCTTTGTTATCGGGTAAAAAGATAAGGAACTTAACTATGAAAAGGACCCAAAGATAAGCAGATAAAAAAGCTTTAAAAGAAGTATAAGCTAAAACGATTTCAAGTTTCTTATCTCGCGTAACAGTTTTTCCTACAATTTTATCACATGAAAATTTGAAATAAATCGAAACATGATAAGAAATTCTGAACAAATTTCGAAAAAATACTATTTATTAGTGATATATAATTATACACATTATAGAGTTAACAATTGCAAATACAGGAAATATTTAAATCAAGCCTGTACAGTTTCACAAGCTTCGATACTTCTGTTCTGTTAACCCGTCAACATAACCTATACCCTACGTTTTTCAAAGCTGTAAAATCATAAAAAGAAATAAAATGATTTTTAATTGCGTTTAACTAGGAAAAAGTAAGTCTAAATATCATGCAATTTTTACGATTAAATTAAAAAGATTCGACATTCACAAACATAAAAGGATTCGAGTATTTACCGGTTAAATAAAATCACGCAATAACGCAGCGCGATCTTCCTGACGATAGGCGAGTTAGATACAATCGAAAACATTCGAATCGAGATACAAAAATATCTAATTTGACACCTACAATTCACTCACGTGTGCCAGCAAGGTATAGCATTGACTGTTTGTTTCATCATTTCATATAGAAAACTTGGCAAGTTTCAAAATCATTCATAAGACGAGCATGCGTAAATAAGTTCATAACTGAATCATTAAATCTGAAGATTTGGTATAAGTCAAGACAAACAAGT